AATTCTACAAAATGAAAGTCTCCACAACCATATTAATAAGCAAGAGTTAAACAACTAGTAACTTTGAGAGCTTTATGCTCGGGAGTGGGTATTAACAATGTAGGTACTAATACGAAAAGTTAAGTTTCTTGCTTCGAAAGTGTCTGCAATAGCAGGACAGATTCGGTTTCCGCTGAGACTAATTCACGAATCATTTCCAATCAATTCTTTCCTTAAATTGAAAGCCGAGTCATGATCCGGTTCGGATAATTTAATAATCCTTTTCTACCGACTTTTCATTTGAAATGTAATGCTTACTTACAATAAAAATAAATGAATGTTGGTTTGGCCCGATGTTCATAACTTGGTCGTGGGAAAAGGGAGAGCTTGTGCAATCTATCCAGTTGTATGTCATCTGCCATAGTAGTCATGGTAATTTCCAGCATCTGATCTTTGACATGGTATCAGTCTGACGGCTCTGCTTCCTTCCGGAGTGGTCTGGTTTGCTTTCAGAGCTAGGCACTTTTGTTCTCTTTTCCTATCTTCCACGAGGTACCAGTCGCTCCCTCGCCACTAGTAAACTTCTGCATGGTGCCAAGTCAACAGTCTGATTTTGGAAGTTGTTATGACTACTCTAGTAGATGATCGGATAGACTTCATAATGTCTCTTCGTTGTGCTGATCAGGTTTCGATCATATACACTTAAAGGATGCTATGAGCAAAGCTAAGCTGAGAACTAGGCTGGGCTGGTACCGGAAGCCGGACATTTGCCAACATGCGGCTACCGAAATCTGGTCCAAAAAAGACATACAGACACAAACGAGCAGGTGTAGGGGCAGGAAAGGTCTCATCAATCTCTGGTGTGAGGAATATGGTATGTAGAAATACTGATGACTGGAATGCTCGATGAGGCAGCCAATGACTAGTTGGATTGGCGTGTGTTTGGTTGTACTGTCTTAGTCCAAACGGGTCTGACGCCAGGCCAGGACTCTACAAGCCTCTACTGCTGGCCCCCTTTTGGCACCGTTTCAGCCGCTTGAACCCACTCATTTCACTTTCAGCTTGCTTTCAACGCCAGCCACTTTGCTCCTCCTTTTCTGGTCTCCACGATGCCCATCTACCAGTCGGTCAGCCCACGCCTCAAGCAAACTTCTGCTTGCCTTCTGAGGGCCAGTCTACCTTCCGAGTCAACTCCATTTTAGCGTTAGTGAGTAGGTTTTGTCACTCACTCGAGGTCGTGACAGTCATTGCAGGAGCCACTTTCAATCTGACTTTATCCTCCAGTCAGCACAGACATGGTGGCATCCGCTTGTTATGAAAGGGTACATTTCTCTCGGGCCAAGGCCAATACATGAAAAAGAAGGCAAAGTAGTGGAGGAAGACGAGAATGAATAGAGTAAACAGGAAAGAAGGTAAAAAGAAAAGACACAGACCTGCGGACACATGCATGGAGGTGGGAGTGGATGACAGGCAGAAGCATGTGTTTATGCGTCCCGTATGGGTTAATGCCCAAAGGTGTGCTCACCTCCGGGCAGATTGGCTGACTGATAATCAGCTCAACTACGCTGGTGGCTGAGCTGCATATCCCACTAGCTAGTCTCACTTTTACGTCTTGTATTTGTGTGTGTGTGTGTGAGTGAATGAGGCAGATAGAGAGAGAGAGAGAGAGAGAATACGGATGAAGCAGCTCTGTGTGAA